ATCGTGGACACAGGCCTCTTTAGACCAGAAACTAGGTCCCCTATTCTCCCGTCTCCAGAAAGTGCTGAATACTCGATACAATATATGATGCAAACAGTCCGCAGTAACGGATTGCAATAACAGGGGCGCAAATTACCGGCGGAGAATAAATCTCAGGAGGATTGTGTTTAGATTGGAAGGAATATCAACGTCGCCGTATCTGCGTCTTCCCATTTAGATATGTCTTGAATAAATATCTGATAAGCACAGATTGCGCGACGCATTAACGAAGGGAACGTTTGTGGGAAAGAAGCAGTTGATATCTCCCTGAGATAATGAGTTCAGCTTGAGATACGCTTGATTTATGATTTAAACGTGCGGCAAAAAAAAGCAGAGAGATCATTACTCAGAACTTTAAGTAATTATTGCTAGTAACTACGGTTGTGTATATATTTTTGGTCTCTCGGCTCGATAATTTACATCGTGTTTCAAACGCATTTCAGCTTGAACTCTGCCTCGCGTAACAAAACGTATTCTTCGTAGCGATAATCTGCTACGTAATTTCATATCCAAGCAATTTGGCGAAACAATAAGCGTGTCGGGAATACTTTCCTTTATTTCTTTTCTTTTTCTTTTGATCAGGAGAAGTATATTAGCTTAGGAATAAGGCGTATTATTCCTGAAGAGAGCAGTCTTCACAATTCAATAATCCCCCTCCGGGCACCGTCTTACGTTAGATTAAGGGAGCAAATGTTTCGCGACTGCTGCTGCCATATTGCTACCCTGTGAGCATTAGGTCTGCTTGTCTTATGTTCCCAAGGGAATAGCGGGATTCCTGGATAATGTGGCACGGCATGCGGCCCTTCCGCCATTTTTACAGATTCTTACCTCGAAAGAAAATAATGTTTGCCGAAGAAAACGGCACCGACGTCCGGAGAATCGTAAATTATTTCGCATGCGTAACGTAAAGCTTTGCCTTACGGGAATAAATGAACAAATTCATCCACGCGACTCATTGTCAGTAAAAATCATTGAGTTAACATTGATCATAAAAAAATATACAATCGGTCTGCTGGGATTTGATTTTACAGAAAATGTAAAACGCTTGTACTTGGAAAAATCTTCATTGTCAAGATGACCATCTTAATTCTTAACATATGAGTATTTGAAAACATAGATAGACGCGGCATAATGTGTATTTTTTCTACATAATACAAGCTATTTGTTGCAGCTCCGTCGTTATCTTAAGAGGCGGAAGCAGCATGTAACCTAGGCACGTACGCCGTACGCATTAAGAAATATGTAATTGCGTCTTTCGAGATAGTTAGAGGCACTAAGAGGTTCCCTGCTTACGTGCACATGTACTTACATTGGGTCGCGAGCTTAATAGACAAAGTTTCGCCTCCCTTCTTGCCGTATCTCGCGCGAAGTTTAATGATGAAAAATCGCAGTCGGGACCGAGTACGGCGACAATGCTAAAAAAATATATTTTCAGGTGCAAACAGACCGTGAGAAGAATTTGAAAGAAATGCGCCTCAAAAATATCGCGTCGTGTGAATAAATTTGCAAATGGTTACCCGATCCTTTAAAAGAAGCTGGGACATTTGCAACTGCATCTCGGGTAAATTTCCACACGGGTATGTCGTTCTTTAAAGATTTATACTTCGTTTAAATTTGTAATCAAGCAAACGCTAGAGCTTTCGCGGAAACGGGGAAAATAACTATTCATCTTTGCAAGAACAACAACGATAGGGAAAGCAATTATCTAACCCCGGCCGGGGAAGGAATCGACGTGCACGACTTCCACGGGGGAAAAGAAATGGACGAGTAGGGAGAGTAAAACGGATTTGGTCGAAATTAGAACCTCGGAGCCTATGCCGGGGCTGCATGTGCGTGATTCGACGAAGGAAATCATCAGGGTAACTTCAACAGCGACAACAACGAACGCGTGCTAACTCGTTCGATTGCTGGAAACAGTAACTGTTTTCTATCGGGAACATTGTACCATTTGTCGAAATTGATAGTCTGAATCTGTGAAGACCCACTAAAAAATGTACGAAAAATTTTGTAGAAGCGACACGAATGTATGTAGCATTTGTATTCGAAATGAATTTTGACCAGATTCGATTGTCAAAGAGTGACAGGATTTAATGATCAAGCTGTTACTTTTATTATTTATAATTCTGGCGGAGAAAGGCCGTCCGTAAAATGTTCATCAAACGGCGGACACGAAGTTGTTCAAGTTGGAGAATGATTGCGCGGATGATGGGGCGAAAAGGGACGCTTAGAAATAGATGATCGATAAGGAGGATGTTTTTCCGTCGCGGAAAAAGAACGGAACATCTTGAGATTAATTGAGTTTTCGCGCGGAATAAAAAGCAGTCGCGGATGACGGTGCAGTATCGGGAACAGCAGCGTGCATTAGTATATTAGCGGAGGTGGGGGCGGGGAAAGCGATGGAAAAAGGACGCGGAGAGCGAAGCGATTGAAGCTCAGAGGATCGGACTCACTGCGCGGAGTAGATTAAAAGTTTGCCGAGGAATTTCCCTGGATAAGGGAGGCAATTCAGCACGATCGCGGGCGCGATCGTGATATCGATTCGACAACGGATCGGGACGGGGGTGAGAAAGGTATGTAATTCGAGCGTGTCTCTGAGCAACTCGACTGCTCCGCGCCGCCGGGTCTGATTCGAGAACTTGCTCGTATTTTCCTACGAACGACGATGCTCGGGTTACGAACGATTGCGTCGGTAAATAGCTGCGCCCGGCCATGAGTTAACTCGATTTCGTCTGTCTCTGTACTTTCCTCTGCCTCTGCGTGGCGCACGGCGCGGCACGGCGGCTCCGTCGCTCCATGCGGAGGCTCGCACACGAGCCCCAAGTGTTTGTACGCCGCTCGGATTACGGTTGCACAACGCATCTATCCCTTGCAATTGCTTTCGCAACAGTACGCGGGGAGAAGTTCTTTTTTCTTAGAATTCATCCTGAAAATCATGCAATCGTGGGACAACGTGGCATTTCGAGGAACTGGATGGGAGTTTTTGGAAATTTTACCGTACATTCTACTAGTAATTATACTTAGTGTACGCTTTTCTAGTAGAATGTGTGGTGAAAGTTGAAAAACTTTCGTACAGTTCTTCGAAATGCCACGTTGTCCTACGATTTTCAGAGTAAATTTTAAGAGAAACTTCTCTCCGTGTGATTACACATGTATGAGAAATGGTAATCGAAAAGATTCATAACGAATATTTAGAAGATTAGTATAATGGGCCAATAAGCTAAACGAGCGATGTAGGTTTTTAAAACATTTTAATAAATAATGTGATATGATCTTAGTCTATATAATTAAAACGGGAATAATAAAAGAATCCCTAAATACAAATATGTAATTTAATCTAACGAACGTTTCGACAGTACTTTGTCTTCTTCAGCGTATATACAGGGTGGGCCATTTTAATTTATACAGTCGATTTTTTAAAAAACTAAAAGAGATATGAAAAAATGTTTCAGACAAAAGTTGTATGGTTTCGAGGGGGACATAAGATGGTACCATAGGTTTGACCTTGAAG